CTATATATATATATATATATATATATATATATATATATAAGATTATGACTAAATAGAAAACTTCCTATTGATGTAACATATATCTCAAAAGATTAAGAGATAAATTTAAGAGTCCTAATATTTTTGTATTTCTATTTCCTTTAGGAAACTTATCATTATAAATCTCAATCCCACAAAATATGGACATGTCTCAATCCCACAAAATATGAGAATATTTCAATAATATATCAATCCCACATAATATGTATCAATTTTAATCAATCCTACAAAATATGGATCAATTTTAATCAATCCCACAAAATATGGGATTTTTGTATGTGGGTGATTTTGGATAGCGCTAAATCCAACAGTGTCTTAGGTTGTAAGTTGTTTTGGGTGGCACTCCTAAGCCTAAGTTGTGTCTTCGTTTAGGTTGTTAGGTTGTGTCTTCATTTAGGTTGTTAGGTCTTTTGGGTGTCACGCCTAAGCGTAGGTTGTGTCTTTGTGGGTGGCAAAGGGGTAGAACCCCCTTGTTAGTAGATATTTCCCTCTCTCTTGATATTCAACTCTCGTATTCATCTCTCATCTCTCTAATTATCAATCTAAGATGCTTAATCAAGATTCTCTCTAAAAATTAAGCTAAGAGGCTTGATCAAGATTAAACCATTGAGTGAGTTTTTGCTATAGTAGGGAAATCAACAAACCGAATATAGATCCGAGCACCAGAAGGAGGAGACTCGGCGTGGGGTGTACTAAGCTTAGTTGAGGTAATCTCCAGCAATTTTACATTTTTAAATATTTATTTATGTTTTGATCTTCTCTTCCTGTAAAGCAATAAAGCCTAATTTTGTTTGTTGAATAGAGAATTGTATTTGAAGATGCAGCAATTGAGAATGGATTTTATTTTATTTATTTCAAGAGCGATTTAATTGTAATTGGACATTACTGGTGTAGGAATAAAGAATATTTTTTTAAAAGATATACACTCTGCTTTACCACAAAGTCCTTTCAGAGTCACACGATCATTTTTTAAAGTGAATACAAATTATAGTTAACAATAAAAAATAAAAATAAAAAGCAAAATGTACAATTTGCTCCCCTTGGAACACCATAGATAACCTCCATTTTTAGGAGTTCATAATGCAGCCATTAATTTGTAAAAGTACTTTACTATTGAAAAAAGGAAATTTATCAAAATATCCACTTGAGATGAACTATTTAAGATTCTATCTATTTGCAACTATTCCAACTCAAGATCATATGTATTTATGGGTATTTTGAATATACATCAAGCGATAATAAGGTATTAAAATGTTTCTCTTATGATGAATGTGATATACTTCCCTATATAAATATCCCATTTGAAGTTGTATTAAAAGATTCAAATTCACCAAACCAACCACCTAAAGTAGAGGATATTTACTCTTGGCGAAGGCAATGAGGTTCTCCCCAAATGATTGTTTAAAATGAGCAAATCGACCTAACGTCCAGACCCTAGGATCCATGCGTACTTCTATATCAAATGTAAAGGTACAAAATTACTTTCTAAAAACTATACCTATTTAGGGTTGGAAATTTGAATTAAAGGCATCAGTATCTTAGCCCACATAAGCCCCAACAAAAAGAGGGGAGTACCCTACTCGTTCGAGGTAGATCAAGTTACTGAAGTGCCCTAACTTTTTCAAAGTTTCAACTCCTGAATAAGAGTAATTTAGAAAATTTCTTAAAAAATCTATATTTTTTAAGAAGGTAATGGGGTGAAATGAAAATCTAAAACTAAAGCATGTAATTCCAATTGAGATCTTTTGACGAACTTAACAATTTTGATAAAAGTTTTTATTCCATTAAGTAATAAAGAAATAAAAAATTTGAAACGCTGTGGTCTATGCATTCAATGTTTTCACATTTTTGGAATGCGTTTGATAACTTTTTTTAGAATTTCGATTCTCTAAAGCTGGGGATCCTATTTGATACATTGTGGTGCTAGTATTTTTACATGGTTGGCATTGAGAAAGCTAGTATATAATATATATTATTATAATATTATATCTATATAATATTATATAATTGTATATTATTATAATATTATATTATATATAATAGATTATAAAAATATTATATTATATATATATAGTATTGCAATATACAATACAAATATAATAAATATGGAAAAATATGGGATTAGCCCACTAACTCATATGAACATATGAGCCACGACCGACGA